GGCATCAGGGGGGTGAGCAAGGAGAGGCGGGGGGCCAGGGGTGCCAGCGCTGTCCCCTCAGGGGAGACACGAGGGCCACCCTGACCCTTCAGAGGGTCCCTGAGGGCCACCCCAGACCTGTCAGAGACAGCCAGGGGTGCCGGCGCCATCCTGGCGGGGATCCCCTTACCAAGCTCACGCAGGCTTTGATGCGGTCGAAGTTGATGCGGGGGACCATTTTGAGGGAAATCTGGTTCTGGCTGGGCTCCATGTAATCCACCTGAGGGGCACAACCGCTGGGGGGGTGAGCTGGCCGCGCGTACCCCCCGCCCACCGCGGCGACCCCATTTCGTCCCCTCCTCACCTGGGCTATGTCATCTTTGTAGATCCCCCTTTTGAGGCGCACCCAAGATTTGGGTTTGAGTTTGGTGACTTCTTTGACCACTTTGAGGACGTCGGTCACCTCCTTGATGGGAACCATCTGCTGGTTCCAGTAGCCCATGCGCAGGCTGACCACCCCCTCGATCGCCCGCTTTACGTGCGCCTGTTTGTAGGCCTCCACGTAGATGAAACCCTTGACGTGCTGAGGGGCCACCACTGATTTGATCTGCAGGGGCTGGAAGATGAGGGGACACACCGGGGACACGTTGGGGACACGCTGGCGCATGCTGGGGACACCATGCCGCTCCCACTCCCCCTCCCCAGCTCCCCCATGGCCTCACCGTGTCGGTGAACTGGTAAGCGATTATTTCCGCATCAGAGCGACGGCTGTGGTGCGCTCCTCTCTGATCTGGGGCCAAAAGGGACATTTTAGGGTACGTTGACCCCGCCCCTTCATGCTGACCTCCATTCTGCATATTTTCCCCCCCCCCCAAGACCCACCTTGCACTTCACAGTCCAAAGACTGGGTTCCCTGAATGGGGGCAGAGAAAAAAATGCCATTACAGGGTGGCTTGGACCGATTTGCTCCTTTTTCCCCCAAACAACATGGGGTTTTTCACACACACACACCCCACCACTCCATGGGACTCACCTGACTGCAGGCAGCAGCTGCTGCTGTGTGATGTCATCCAAGAGCTCTTCGGAGCCTCCGTGAAGGCTACAAAAAAAAAAGGAAAAAACAAGGGAAAATTATAAAAAGATAACGGAAGGCACGTTGGGGAGATGGGGGAGCTGCTCCCCAGCGCACTGGGGACGAGGGCGGGGACTCACATTTCTCCCACCGAGGACTTGGCGTATCTTTTCATGTAACACTCGCCCAACTCCTCCTCACCTTGGTCCCTGGGGAAAGGAAAAAGTATGGGGGGGGAGGAAGGTGTCAGCGCAGTCCCCACCGCCCCACCGGACAGTCGGACACACGGACAGAGCTACCGTCACCTCCAGAGGTTCTGCAGCCGCCGAGCGCCGGAGCGATCTTCATCCAGCACCACGTTATTGATGTCGGAAGCTACGAGAAACAGGAAGGGTCGAGATGTCACCCCCCGGGGGATGAAGGGGGGGAGGGAAGGAGGGTGGGCTGCGCCCCAGAGTTGGGGGACAGACGGAAATGCGGGGAGGGTGTGTGGGGTGATTTGGACTTACTTTCGATCTCTTCTGCTCGGGAACAAGGAGTGGCGCCAGAGGATGGAGCAAATAATAGCGGCAAAATCACCCATGGGTGAGGGGGAACAAAGGGGAAGGGATCAAAATTCAGAGGGCGGCACGGGGCTGGGGGAAGGGCAGGGGGGGGAAATAAAAGCAAAATAAAAACCCCAGGCGAGCGCAGATGAGATATGCCGAGCGGACGGACATGGGGAGGGAGGGACGGACAGACAGACGTGCCATCCCTCCCCAAGTGGTGAGCTTGAGAGGGAGAAAGGGGCCTGGGAGGGGAGGTAAGAGCTGGAGGGCAGGGGTTGGTCCCACCAGAACCGCACCACTGCAGGGCTGTGCTTCCATCCTCTTCCTCCGGCCTCCAGGACGGGGAAGGGAGCCAGACAGGGGGCCACAAAGACCCAGGCGGGCCCTCCCCCAAAACAGCGTAGAGACGCGCCTCACCTTTCTCCAGGATGTCCTCGGCCCCGTCCTCCCACTGGTCCTCATCCTCATACTCGTCATCCACGTCTGGAGGGGTCAGGGAGGCGAGTGAGGCTGGGGTGGGGGGGGGCAGGAGCAACCCCCCCTACTGCCCCCCCAGCTCACCAGCCTCGTCGAGGATGAAACTGCCATGGCACGGCTTCTTGGCTTGTCGCTCATCATCTTCCTCCTCCTCTTCCTCGTCATACTCCTCCTCTTCTTCTTCTTCTTCCTCCTCGGCTTCCTCCTTCTCGCTGCCAGTGGCGCTGGTGTGCTCCTCCTCGGCCTGGGGATTTTGGGGGCAGAGGAGTGACAAAGAGCACCCCCACACCACCCCCATCACTACACTAGCTGTAGCCTTCAGCCTCACCTCGTACTCCTCAGTCTCGCAGCTGCGCTCTCTCGCATCCTCCAAGAAGTTGCTGTTGGCGCTGTCAGACATGGCGGCGTTGGGGCGTCTGGGGTTAGGAAACTGGGGTGTCCCGGGCTGAAATGGGGAAATGATTACTTGTTTTGAGATCTACTTAATTATTTACTTTTAGGCAACTGCTTAGCAACTTACTTACTTATAGCAAGTTGTCGTAGGTTTTTTAATACTGCTAAGAATCCTGCTTGCCCAGACTGTCCTGTGGAATTTTACCAAGGTCTGCTGTGTTCATCAACACAGAGCAGTTCGCTCTGAAAATCTACCCAGCATTGCAATGTTCAGCAAAATCTTAGACTTTTGGCCTTGAGTAACAGGTGGCTCTAACTAGTTGGAATCTCGTGAAAAGATAATCTCGTGAAAAGAATCTGGAGTAAAGATAACCATCTACGGATGGGAGAAGTTCTGTCAGTTCTCTTGGATCCGACAGAAAGTTAACCGTCTGAAAAACACTCTTGTTATTCAAGAAATTGGCCAAGAGAATCTGCGCGTGCTCGGGGCAAAAGCGGGGCGAGAAAGACTCGGAGCCTTCCTCCCAAAGCCCCCCGGAGGCAACGGGCAGGTGCCAAGATGACATCAAGTGCTGACACCATGCTTTCTGACTAGCCCAGCCCTGCTCATGCCCGTGCACGTGTGTGCGATGTAGCCCAATGAATATGGAAATCCACACTCGAGGAATAGTTTTTGGTAAAATGTGCGGGGGGGGTGCGAGCTTTGTGGAGAGATCCCCTTGCACCCCGGCGCCGCAGTAAACATCCCTGCCGTGTGACTCTGTTCCAGCTGCAGAGTCTCTTTTCCGCGAATCAGGGGGGACAGGCAGGGGGGGTCGGGGGTGGCCTCGGGGTTCCTGGGGGCTGG